CGCACGAATTTTTTAGATCAGGTGTGGTACGATGCAGTCTTTTGGGACAAATACTTTTAGCAATACTCCTATTGAAACCTAACAATGATTATTAAACAATACGCCATAATTTTTTTATTTTCGACCTCAAGACTTGAAAAATAGCTTGGAGTCTAAAACTCTATGGGGAAAAATTAATGGAGAAATGTCACGGTTGGTACTTAGGGTCACTCAGGCTGCCTCAAATCTCCAGTGTTCTCTAAGGGTTTGGATAACCAGGTTTACCGGTTGATGTATAGCACCAAGCACCTCCAAATATTGGAAATCCTTTCTGAATGGAAAGAAAAACGTACGAAAAACAGAGTAAGTCAAGGGTAGACGGCGTTAACACTTTGAATATTTCGTCATACTACTCCGTTCGAATCCTAGAAATTCCATATCATGCCTTACTTTGCATCCCCGTTCAAGCCGGATAGTCAATGACTGCTTAGCTTCTCCCTTGATTTTCAGGATCCTACGGGATTAATTTATGGAGAAACCTGCGAGTGCAACAATCTAAACTGTCCTAAAGATCCTGAAAATGAGGAGATTTGTGGAGGATCGGGTAGGTCACGCCAGAACTATCTGAAGCTGTTTTTGGTCCGAGTGATAAATTGCTGGTGGCATACACAAACGATCTATACATTTATTATGCCTGGATTTTGAAAGGTAACAGCTTTAAAATAGAGACATTACTAAACAGAAAAATTGAAAACGATGAGGCAATAACATAGAAGGACATTCCAAACGGAGCGACGCGAGCCGTATTATTTTCATGCCTTGAATATACGATTGTTCCCGGTACAACTCAGTATCTAAGGGTAACGTTAAGAAAAGAAATCTATTTATTCTTACATCATGTGTTTGTGAGCAGTGGAGCCTGCAATTGAAGCCCTTGATTTTCCAAGAAGAATTAAGACGCTGTGTACGACAATTTATTTACCTCTTTGGTTCTTTTTCGCCTTGATCCTTTAATGCTTAACTATATTTATTCATTTTATACATGTTGGGATTTACGTTGTGAGGTACTATCATCCGTGGAAGAACACTGTATTTTTACAGTCGTTCGTTTGCAATTTTTGAAATGTATCGTCATCATACCATGGAAAGGGCGCACGAACGAATTATATTCACGAGTTGCGATGCATCAAAAACTCTCTCGTTCGCCGCGCTCACTCATTGGTTTTTTTGATGCATCGCAACTCGTGAGTAAAAATCGCTGGTGCGCGCTTTCCATGGAATAATTTAAATTAATATTTTCACTGAAACAGCCACATAACCCTACATTTTATCATTTAGTGGCCAGTGCAAGAAGTGCCAGAATTTAAGGTTTCATCCTTTAACCTTTATATTATAATTCAGCGCCCCACACCACTTACCTAATCTTCCGTCTTGAAATTTGATCGAGGCTGAGAGTGAGAAATAAACCAATGACTTTCTAATGAATAAAGGCTGATAGTTTCTAAAGAAACTGTTTGGGGCTGCGTCGGTGGGGGTAACGAAATAATTTGAATATGTCAACAAAGTTGAAATGGAAAATTGGCCACCGTTACGATTATAAAAGCTGACGTTTCGAACGTTAGCCCTTCGTCGATAGCCCTTTCGCTCCGACGAAGGGCTAACGCTCGAAACGCCAGATTTTGTAATCGTAACGGTGGCCAATTTACCATTTCAACTTTGTTGATATATTCAAATGACTTTCTAACATTGAAATTTGCGTCGATATCATGACATTTGCTCTTTACCAACAGAGCGCGGAGTTTGTGACTGCGGCCAATGTAAATGTAAAGAAAACTGGAGTGGACCTTCTTGCAGCTGTAGCAAGGACTTGAACGGGTGTACCAAGGATGGGGTAAGGCTAACATTACACTGGGGTAATCATCAATTGACTCTCGTAAGCCTATGTGACGTCCTTTCCTTTTGCCTTTGCATTTATCGTGATGAATAAAGAGGAGTTTTTTTTACGAAGTAACCAATAGTATTAGCGCCACTCATCTTGGATGGGAGTCTAAACTAGTTTACCGCAGGTCGGCCCTTAAACAGTTTCCGTTCCAATCAACATTACCCAGTCATTCTTCTCGTAGAAGAGAAGCCCTACCCAAAGAAAGAGGCGATGGTCTTAGTCAAGTCTTTAACCCTCGCGACTCTATCGGGGGCCGGGAAACTTGTGCCCGTATCTTTCTCCAACTTAGTGTCTACAAAAATACATATGTGTCTTCCTTAGGTGCTTTGTAACGGTCGAGGGACCTGTAAATGTGGAACATGCGTGTGCAATGATTCTTTACCCTACAGGGGACCTTTTTGTGATGATTGTCTTGTAAGTATATCGCCTGTCACTTTGTTGTAAGGAATGTTGAAATTTCAAATACAGCGCTAGCTGAGATTTGTAATCGAAACATTGCCGCAATGTTTTTGATATGTTAAGTCTTAGAGCTCAATCAGACAATACTCTTTTTTTTTCCGAATTTGATCAACCATTATCATTTGAAACTCCCCTTGAGAACATTTGGTATAAATTAGCAAAGCTGGACAGTCCTTTTCCCCAAAAAGCGACTCCTTTGACTAGCGCCATCAAGAAAGGTATCTCACACAGAGTTTTACACGTAAAGCTGATTAAACAGTCAAAGGAAAATAATTCAATTTTACCAAAGGGGTGGGGACAGTAAAGAAAGAAATTCAAATGGTTGGAATGCTTAACTGCGTCAAATACCCATTACTTCTTCTCACCGTAGAGCTTCCTTTGCATACTGTGGTTTATGTATCTAAATTTCAGAGTTGTATAGGAAACTGTGAAGCTAACAGACCATGCGTGCAATGTCAAATATTCGGTACAGGGGAACTAGTTGGAGAGGATTGCAAAACTAAATGTAAAGACTTTAGAATCACCGTAGTAGACAAGTTAACATCCGGTGAGTTATTGTTTTACCTCATCTTATAACCCTAGATAAAGGTTTGTGCAAGAGGAGTTGGGATTTTTTTCCTTTGAAGCATTCCTTAGTCATGTTTTAATGTTTTTTTTTTTTTTTTCATTTATTGTTGTTGTTGTTCTTTGTATTTCATTTAAAGAGAATGGCTTGATTCTGCATATGTAGATGGCATTCTGTTTTTGCCGGGTTTGTCTCTACACTTTTTCTCGTGCCATTTGGTTTTAAGCATAGTTAATAGTTAATATTAACTAGGTTTTAAGTGAAAAATCTAGGAGAGAGCTCTAGGTTGCACGGTTGCGGAGTGCAATTTCTAAATATATTCATTTGAGACTCGTGAATGGTTTGTGCGCTAACCAATACTCACAGTTATATCGTACGTACCGAGAATGCACACATGTGTGAAGGGCTTGCCCTCTTGATATAACTGAGCTGATGAATATTTATTGTTTCTTTATATAACTACAATTTCACTACAAGTACCATTTTAATCTCTTATTTCCTCCAGAGATGGGCAAACAGTGTCGATTTCGAGACGAAGATGACTGTTATTTTGGGTTTGCCTACACAATAAGAGCAGATGGACAGTTGGAGATTTATACACAGAGGACTAAAGGTTGGCTCCTTTTCCTAAACTCCAAACTATCTTAAGATATTTCCAAGAATCTATGTGATGTCAAATAACGCCTTTTCTCGAGCTTTGTTGAATCCTGTAGACTTGTCTTAACAAGAATTGCTGATACAGAGCAGTTATTTAACGGTCATTTATTTGCACGGAAAGTAACCCAACTGCGCTGCAAGGGAAGAACACCAAGAGAAGAAGTAGAGGTCTTAGGCTGGCCCTTGGAGGCACAGCACCAAAATTTACATAATAAAGTGTGAATAAACTGTGAATATCAATGTAGTATGAAAAGTAGACACGTTGTTAATCTTGTCCTCATAGTTTCCCACGTTAGAAACTGAGTCTCCGAGCCTCTCTCCAACAAATTCTCGTCTTAAGGCCTCTTCCACCTAAGCCTCTGTATACCCCTTATTAAATCCGTGGAAACGACCTGCGCAATATATATTTTTTTCTCCTAGACTGTCCATCAGAGATGCAGGCTCTGTTGGTTATTTTGGGCGTGATAGGAGCCGTTCTCGCTGTTGCCTTAGCTCTATTGCTAATATGGAGAGTTTTAGCAACGATACAGGTATTGTCAGTTGGGCTCTGGTTAAAAGTTTAACCGGTCGCAATCCACGTGAAACGACTATCTCCTGTCAACAGCTGATTTCCTGTGATTATTTTTCAAAAGTTTGTTAATCATTTTGGCCCTTTTCGGGAAAAATCGCTACCGCTCGTCAACTAATCATTCAGATCGAAATTACTCGATATTCGTTGGACGACCGAGTACCTCAGTAGTAATTACTCCGCTGATTACTCAGTAAATTTCCAATCCACAAGTCTTAAATCATTCCTGAGACTACAGGCATCAGTTTCTCCTACGCAAAGAATAAAGAGAAGAAAAACTGTCTCCTTCAGATATCTAGCTCAGTAATGTTTAACGAGTTACATATTCTTATTTTCTTGGGATAAACCTAACTCTTGAGTGAGTTGGTTGATTGAATTGGCCATCGTAAAGAGGATAGAAAGATGGAATTTATAGTGTTAGCCCTTGGTCAAAGTAATTCCGTCAGCCTTAGCATCTCCTTCGGAGGCCAATTCACGCTATCAACTGAAATTATAAATCCAAATTATCCTACCACTTAACGGATAAGGTGGTTTGCAATGTTCAAGATGGAAAAATTCAAAGTGATGAACCCTTCGATTAAGCTCATGAATTCTTTAGTAATGGTTAATTGTTACAATAACGTCACTTCCTCTCTTCATGGTTTAAATTTGTAAGTTACATTCCTATCTTCAGGACCGGAGAGCATTTGCCAAATTTGAAAAGGAACAACAGAATGCAAAATGTGTCATGGTATGTCTTCATAACACATTGTGAACTTTCTCAAAACATTTGTTGCTTTTTTAAAAAAAGAGATCATTTCATTTTCGTGACGACGGTGAAAACAATGTAATTTCCAATTTGTTCTTCAGTTGGTTTGCCGTTTATTTCTTGAATAATCTTCAGGCTTTAGTCAGTCAGTCAGTGATTCCATCAGTGAGTGAGTGAGTGAGTGATTCAGTCAGTCGGTAAGTTAGCCATTCAGTGAATCAGTCGGTCATTCTTCAATCAGTCAGTCCTTAGTTCAGCCAATCAGTCGGTAGTCAGTCAGTCAGTCGATAGGTCGATCAGTCAATCAGTGGATTAGTCGATCAGCCAGTCAGTCAGTCACTCCTCAGTCAGTCAGTCGTAGAGTCAGTCACTCTCTAAGTCAGTCAGTCAGTTAGCCAGTCAGTCATTCAGTTATTTAATCAGACATCAGGCAGTCAATCTAGTTTTAACTCAATCAGACAATTAGTCAGTCAACCATTAGAGCAATCAGTCCTTTAGTCAGTAATATTAGTACTATGGCAATATGGTATAATATTGTAGCACCTCTCATCCTTTTGTCTCAAAAACAGGCTGAAAATCCAATCTTTAAGCCAACAACGACGACCTTTATGAATCCTATGTACGGAGTGAAAACATGAAGTGAGGAATGGCAGAACAAGTCTTCAGTGGGGACTTCTTGGGGACGCACTTCTCACGAAACCTCAGACGGTGTAACTGGAGGATGGGTTGGACACAGGATTGGTCTAAACGGTTGTGACGAAAAATTCCAATAATAGAATCGCACTAAAGATTTGAAGACGTCATTTAATTACTCTTCACGTCAAATTTTGAAACTCAGTTCCAGCCAACTCAGGAACAGTCATGTAACTCTCTCTCTATGATCATCCACTTTTGCAACCACTTTGCAAATGTCCGACTGGTATCTGAATTAAATACCTTTTCAAAACCTTCTCCTCAAGGACGAGTGCTCGAGTTCCTTCAATCAGTTTTTCGCTCTTTGTAAGGATTTTCTCAAGTCAAGTGACCTCCTCTTTCTCTAAGGAACACTTTTTTCTGCTCTGATGGTGATCTCTTAGGAAAGAGTTGACTGCAATACGACACCGAACTTACTGTATCTAGAGACATTTGGTTATCTCCGTAACGCACTTCAGATGATGGATAATGTCGGGGAGCTGTTTTGGGACTTAATGCTTAAACGAACTGCACGAACTGCACGAACTACTGCTGGTATGCCGGTTTGCAACCAACTACCCCCGCCTCATATTCAACTGTAAACGTTTCGGTTTCTCAACCAAGTCAAGAAAAGGAAAGAAACAAACGCCTCAAACAGTCCAATCACAGCTGAACACAACAGCCTATAAGTGACGCGTACGACCTACGACCTCATCGCCTGAAGAAGTCTGCCAGTATGTAGTTAAAACGTCGCGATCCACATCCCAAGTTACCACTTTGTGAGACAAGCGATGACATTTCTCTTTTAAACAAACACATGTAACCATATACAATGAATATATGAAGTTCATATATTTTGAACTGCGGTTGTAGGTACGTATGATGCGCTCTCTACTGCGAGGATCGTGCATCATACGTACATGTAACCATGATGATCATCTAATCCTACGTTTGCATGATAAAGACTGGGTGATTTTCTAATTCAAAATTGGAGCCAAATTCCGTGTAACTAAAAAAAGTTCGTCAACTTGATGATTCAGTGCATACAAATACAGTAAAATCTTGAAGCCCTTGAAGGAGAAGAATATTTTTTTTCTTTGATACTCATCCTGGTATGTCTTTTTTGTGTGTGAGAGTAAAGGGAGAAACCAAATATAGACGTCGAAATTCTTACAATCGTGTACTACAACTGTTGGGTCTTTCTTGTTAATGCTTTTTTTAAAAATGCACGGCAGAGCTTAACTTTCCCCATAGAAAGGGTCCGAACAAACGCAACGAGTGTTTACCGTAGTCTCCTGTTCTCATTCGTCGAATCATTTTAAGTCCTAAGGACCTCAAAAAAGCAGAAAGTAGGGAGCTGTTTAACCTCTTCGTTAGAAAAAATTCATTCGTTACTAGTTAGACGGCTGATAGTTTTATACAAGCTCTTTACGAACCAAATAGGTAAAGTCTGTTTTCGAGCCTAGTGGCCCATTAGGCCTGTGCTTAACTCCGGTTTCTGTTGCATGGAGCGACTAGGAGTATTTCTACTCCCCCCTGGATGGGATGCCAGTCCATCGCAGGGTTACCCCCAGCATTAAATTGCCGGTACCCATTTATACACCTGGGTGAAGAGAGGCACTGTGAGAGTAAAGTGTCTTGCCTAAGAACAGAACACAATTTCCCGGCCGGGGCACGAACCCGGACCACTCGATCCGGAGTCGAGCGCACTAACCATGAGGCCACCACGCCTCCACTTACAAACCTACTACTAAACGTTTATTTATTCAGTTGGAACTTCTGACGTTTACGATAAAACCAGGAAAGACGATGAAATTCAACTTTTTTCTACTAAACATATAATACAGTGACAGTTACAAATTATACTAATTTTTACAGGGATCAATAAGTTTTCTAATCAAGAAACTCGAACAATTCAATGATTTGTTTCGCCTTCCGTACTGTCTGATATCTATCACTTTAAAAACAAAAAGATTCTATTGATTGTATCAAGTTACAGAAACGAGTTATGGGGTTGCATACCTTCACGGAAATTTCATTTAACTGTAAAATTATATATAAGGAATTTCTAATACGCTGTGTTGCGCGTTTTATACCGAAAAAAAAAAAGAAATTTCCAATTACTCATGAGACTTCTGATTTCTATCGGTTCCATAACGTTCCGTGATCAATTAGTAATCAGTTTTCTTCTCCATTACCATTTGTTTCAAGGCTTCATAGTTCACTCTCTTGTACCCATCGTCACCCGTAACCACGGTCCACGGGTACAGTTCCCCCACTTCCTGAGCGATGACTCCATGCCCAGTTCCACTCATGCCAAGTTCTACGGCATCTTCGGACCATACCCAGTTGTAGCTACGAACACCAATCTGCTCGAAATCTGAATTCGGCACCACTGTGATGTTTTCTTTCAGTCGAGAGTCGCTGAGAATTCCAAACAGGATCACACCCCCAACAACAGTATTTACTATGTCTCTTTTCTCTCTCTCTTTCGCTCTTCGAGCTGCAGCAGCTTCTTCCAACCTTCTACTCTCTTCATCAGCTCTGCGCAAGTTTTCTTCTTGGATTCGTCGCTCTTCCACTGCTTTTGCTCTCGCCTTCCTCTCTTCCTCTAACCTCTTTTCTTTCTCGATAGCTTCTTTGCGGCGCTGTTCCTCCCTTTCCTTTTCCATTCTCTCCTCTTCTTCTTTCCTTCTCAGCTCTTCCTGATGGCTTCTCTCTTTTTCTGCCATTTCTTCTTTTTGGGCTATAACTTCAACAAGTTTATCTTTGATTTTCGTTCTTTCCATTCCCAAAGCACATTTTTCGGTGAACTCATCCATAATTTGCTGTCTTCCATTCTTGATGTGATTCCAACTATTTCTCAGAAAAGGTTCAATTATGTTTTGGTAAGAACGTTCGCACAATTCCGTTTCGAGGGTGGTATATACATTTGAAAATCCACTCCATGAATTTTGATTGAGAGCAATCTCAAGCCTCTTAGCGAAAGAAGCGATCATTGTTCCGTCCATGTTTGCTCCACGAATAGTCTTTTTTAAAGGAAAACTACTTAAATCAGAGGAGAGAGAGGATGCGACATTTGCGTAATCGTCACGCAGAAATTTTTCTAAGTCATGCAATCGTTTCGAATCCACAAAGGGAATGTCTCGAACCTTGATGTTAATTCGAGGAAAGTGCTCTGCAATGGTTTCTCCGTATTTTCCATCAAGTATAGAATCTTGAGTTTGACTCTGCAAAGTTTTACCTGGGGATGGTGCAAGGGCATTTCTTATGATCACCAGTAGTTGTGGAAATGTCTGCATGCTCTCTACATCATCTTTCCAAATCTGTTCGCTCAAGCGCGAAACACGGTACAAAAACTGTACATTGTGATTTTGTACTGCTTCCCTTGCAAAGAGAGCCAAACCGGAAGACATCATCATGGTGAAGATGCTGAGCAAGTCTGTGTTTTCGTTGTCGCCTAAGTTAGTTCCTTCAGTGTCGAGTAAAATCGTGGTTCCGTCGCCATTTGCATCACGCGACACAGACATCCACACTCCCGTCGTACATGGTTTCATGCCATCGCTCGTGTTAAAAACTTTCTCAACTCTTTGATTTCGCTCTCCTTCAAGAAAATATCTGATGAAGTTCAAATTTGTGGACTTACCAACGCGTGCGTCGCCAATGGCTCCGACAATTCTCACAGGCCCTTTCAAAGACTGTATCTCGGGCAAAGCATCCTCGCTGAGGGTGAACTTGCCATTTTCCTCGTCGAACTTCAGTAATGGTTTTGCTGGTGAACTGCGACAAGTTTTGCTCAAAAGAGAAACAAGTATTAAAAGAACCGGTAACTTCAACATCATTTCGACGGAAACAACGTCTAAATTCGAAGCCCTGACAGTTTCAAGGGGTCGAGCGACCAAGTTACAGGCTCCACGAGTCTGATATTTTGTAATTATCACGAGAGAAATTTATATGCGCTTCTGCCATAGCGTACTTTGCCCATGTGTTTCTGTTTCTCTTCTAATTTTACCTAATGATGAGTCAATTTTCTAGGAAAAACCCCCAAACTTCTCTTTATTTGGCAGCATCACGGTGCACCAACGCGCAAAGCGTACACCGGAAGTGACTGATTTGAAAGGGAAACTTCCCTTAGGTTAGCAGAACTCTAGGAGACTCAAAACACTGCGAGATCCGCTGATTTTGAGTATAAGAGTATGGAAAACTTTTTGTAAAGATATTTCATTTTTAACTGTAGAGCTTACTTCTATTCCATACGGAATAAGAACTGAATACATAAATTTTCAATTTATCACAGGTTTTTGACCCTACGGCCACCCTATAGTCTCTGGCGTGAAAGGGGGTTCCCCTAACGATTCTGTTTCATTCTCTGCTAAGAGCTCTTTGTTTTGTAAAAATCTGTTTCGACTCAAGACAAATTTTTATTTTCTCCATTGCTAAAAGTGATCGAAAATATGAAGAAATAAGGTGCAGTGTACCATGAAGTTTTTAGAAATAAAAGATCTTTACTAACTTCGACATGACAGAAAAAGATGTAATAGTCTAATTAACATAACATCCCTTTATTCGAAATTGTCTGTCTATTATTTACGATCAATTTCCGAGAAAAAGAGGCGAAGTCAAGACAACCAATTAGAGTGTGCCAGCTTTGCAGGTTCTCGGACAGGGAAAAACCCCACAGTCGTTATCACGTCGAAAAAGCCCCTGCTCTCGTGCACGTTGAATATATTTAGAGAAGTTTCCGTTCAATCCATTCGCTTTGGTAGTAAGATGGACTTAGGTAGATGTTGTGCTTTCGTAGCATTTCTTGCCGTGCTCTATTTCGCTTCAGTTGCTGAAGGAAAGCCGGCTCGAATCCTCATCAAGTACAACAAAACACGAGATATCTTCGAGTTGAACAGAACCGTTCTGGACGACCTGTGGGAGTTGCAACGACCGATTCGCGTCATAGCTGTTGTGGGAGATGCTAGAATTGGAAAATCTACCACGCTCAACGTAATAAGTCACATATGGTCCGAAGTAAATCACAGCCATGTCGAAGAAATCTTCAAAACAGGCGATACACTGTAAGCTGTCACGCGTGACGTGTGGTGCAGCATCATCTATCCACAAGACAAGGAAGGAGGAAGCGTTGTGTTACTTGACGTTGAAGGCACAAATTTGGGCGATGACGCCGTTACAACTCATTTGAGCATGTTTACAGCCCTGGTTTCTTCTGGCCTGAACGTTTTTGTCCGAGACGTGTTTCAAAACAACAATCTACACTTTTTGTTCCACATGTCACGCTTAAGTGATCAGATTTTTCCTAACATTACTATCGAAAACTTTCCCAAACTTCAGGTGGTTATTCGAGGTGCACTGGGTGATCCTGATGGGGGCAAAACAATCGAAGATTACACAAAGGATTGCATCGTGGAAGCTTCCTTCGAGGAGAGTATGAACGAAGAGAGAAAAGCCATCGCAAAGCACTTCCCGAGGAACCAAATTATAGTAAGTCAGATTCCGCAAGTGGAACGTGATCTTTTCAAAGATTTCGATAAATTACGAAAGAGTGACTACTGGCAAGAAATGAAGCGAGTGGTTGAAAAACTCAAGACGTTTCCCATCAAAAAGACCTTAGGAGGAAGTCCTATGGACGGAAAAGGATTAGTAGAATTGGCCTGGTATCTTAAAGATACGATGAATGCGAACTCGTGGCTGGACTTTGCAAATGTTTACGTTACGCTAGAGAAAAATATTTGTAAGAGAAGCCGCGTGAAACTTATTGAGCCGCTCTTTGTGTTGCCAACAGCAGACGAAATAGAAGCAAGAATAGAAGACGCTTTAAGGAACTTTGCAATGGAGTGTAAGTTGCAAACCGAAATTTCCGCTGTGCAGAAAGATCTACAGCACTTTGAGAGTGAGAAGAGAAAAGCTGAGGAACTGGAATTGAAAGCGAAAGAAGCGGAGAGCCAGAGGAGAGCTGCTGAAAAGAAAAACGAAGAGCTAAAGCAAAAGTTTCAGCATCAGATGTCAGAGAAAAATATTGAAATCGAGAGAGTAAAAAGAGAAAAGGAAGAAGCTGAGCTCAATGAAAAGAATTTTAAACAACTCCACCAGGAACAAATGAAGACCATCGCTTTACTCCAGGAAGAACTAAGAAAAAAAAGTGATGGCCTTTTTGATTTCATTGGTCGTATAATTCATCGCGTGATTCGACGAGTAAAACGAACTATTTTTAACGAACTATAACTGTAGGTTTGTGTAACCGCTCCGTTAAAGCTAAATGTTACCGCTTCCGAGAGAAGCTGCGAAATATTTTATGGTTTCATAAACGCCTCTGTGATTAGTTCATTTTAAGACAGAAAATTATAGTTCACGTTTCAGTTCGGGATAAGACCTCGTGTAATCAAGATTGTTTCTAAACTAGAAGACAAGTTAGACCGTAATCCTTGATAAAGTAGTCGAGACCCGGAAACGTTGGTAAACGTTTTGTGATTATGTCAACTGGTAGATGTGATTCAAAGCGAAACCTATCGCCAGCCTTTTACCTTTCTCGTTTCTTTTGATTGCCACGTGCTCGTTGTCCAAATTGATGTTATTCTTTAAAGCTATGATCGCAAAATACTTAACTCTTTAAACTCCAAAAGAGTTCTAAGAGTTATGAGCATCCAATTTCTCGCAAACAGCGTTACCCCTAAATTAAAAATTAAGGTCATGATAATAAGGGAATGATATTGAACTTAAGAAGTTTTTGATTGTTAGACAAATTCTCCTTTTCAATGCCCTAGAAACTGTATAGAGAACAGTATAGAGAATGATATGCATAGTGTTGTAGGGTGTAAAGGGTAAAGCAGTTTGTTGGTTCTTCTTTCTCGCTGGCTCCTGTGATATTTACTCCTGAACCGGTGCGTCCTTTACCCAAAGGAGAGACAAGATCCAACAAAAGAGTACACCCAAATCGGAAGCTCCGCCTTGAAGTTTTATTTGTCAATTAAAAGGATCTTGACATAAAACAGCCACTACTTATCTTACTATTTTATATCTTAGACGGAAGGGTTTTATTAATCGGATAAACCATGGATATCTAGTCTGCAAGTAGTTAAAAATAATAGGAAAATGCTGACCGAAGGTCAACTGTAGTGTATTGAGGGCTTTAATCTTTTATTACAAAGACATGTAAGAAAAGTTAACGGTGCAAAGAACCCAGCAATTCTCAGGTTTTTCGTCGTTACCGAAAGAACCCAGTTAAATTCAGCTCATGCGTAGTAAGTAAAAAAATTGCGATTGAATGGAAAATTGCTTTCTCGGAAATATGCCTATTTTTGAGAACCACTCATTAGAATTTCGCGAAATTTGGCGCGAAAATACTTTAGGAAATAAGTAACTGGAGTATTGAAAAAAATTGATTTTTAACAAAGGAAATTCTAGATAATCGAGTGAACCCTCAGCAAGGGATAATTAAAGTTCTCTCTGTTAAATTGTTAGCAAAATGGTATTAACTTGTGAGTATTTTTACAAGCTCGTTGTATGCAAATTATAAAGAAAATCTAATGACTAGATTTTATACAAATAAACAAAACCGATTTTAAAGGCCTGTTTATATTTATTAATGTCGCCATGGCAACGGCACATACGTCAGCTTAACTATTAAAAAAACAAAGTTTGTGTCGTTCACTTGCTTGCTGCCAGTTTTGGCGACCGAGAGATCAAGGATGTTAAAGAAAACGGCGAAAGAAATACAGGTATCAAAAACTGTGTTCAGCCACCTTAAGATTTATGGAGAGACTGTTGCTAACTTTGATTTTATCACCGGCTTCAGTGCAATAAAATCGCTTTAAGTCACCTTAAGTCGCCTTAAGTCGCCTTAAATCGCTTTAAATCGCCTAAAGTCGCAATGTTTTTTTCTGTCAATTTTGCTTGTGGCGCCTTAGGTCGCCTTAAATCGCCCAAAGTCGCCCAAAGTTACGGGGACTTAAGGCTCCAGAGTAAGCCTTAATATTTAACTGTTAACGTTGCGGAAACACATTCTGAAGCAAGTCAAGAAAAGGAAAGAAACAAAAGCTTCAAACGTTCCAATCACAGCTGAGCACAACAGCATAAAGGTGACGCGTAGAACGTACGACTTCCTCGTCTGAAGAAGACTGGGACTGTGCCGTTAAAACGTCACGATTCACATCCCAAGTGACCGCATTGTGAGACAAGCGATTACATTTCTCTTTTAAAAAAACGCATGTAGCTATGAAGATCAAACCATCTTACGTTTGCATGACAAAGACTGGGTGATTTTCTAATTTAAAATCGGAGAAGAAAAAGTCAATGTAATTAAAAAAAAGTTCGTGAACTTGGCGACTCAGTACCTACAAATACGGTAAAATCTTGAAAGAGAAGCATTTTTTTTTTTTTGCGATACTCATCCTGGTATGTCTTTTTTGTGTGTGAGAGTAAATGGAGAAACCAAATATATACGTCGAAATTCTTACACTCGTCTACTAAAATTGTTGGCTCTTTCTTGTTAACGCTTTGTTTAAAACTGTTTAAGCTTGATCTCTTACGGTCGGCAGAGCTTAACTTTCCCCATAGAAAGGATATTTACCGGAGGATATTTACTGCATCCCTGTTAGCTCAATTGGTAGAGCGCCGGACTGTTGTGCGGGAAGTCGTGAGTTCAAATCCGGCCGGACCAACACTCAGGGTCTTTAATTAACTGAGAAGAAAGTGCTACCTTTGTAATAATATCTGCAAATGGTTAGACTTTCTAGTCTTCTCGGATAGGGACGATAAATGGAGGTCCCGTCTCCTGCAGGGTTAGGGGTAGGAGACGTTAATTTCCCACACACGAGATAACTGTGTGATGGGTGTCCTCNGGTTAAGGGTGTAAAGATCTTGGAGGGGACTTAGAGTCCTATTGTATTTACACCACCTTCGGGTGAATCATTAAATAAAAAAATAAAATAAATAAAAAATAAAAGTAGTCTACTGTACTCATGAGTCGAAACCTTTCAAGTCTGAATGACGTCAAAAAAGCGCGGGGGAGTGTCTTAAAAACAAAAAAAAACTGGACTGAGTCTCACGTGATTCTGTCTGTTTTGTACCCCCCCCTCCCCACGAACTTGATCTTTGATTATCAGTGACCTGTTTGACCTCTTTCGTTGGAAACCATGCATTCCGAAACAACGAGTTAGACGTCTGATAGTTTTACACTAGCTCTTTGCGAGCTATGTACTAAACGATTTTTATTTACTTTGTTCGTTCATTTCTGTTGTTTATGATCAGGAAAGAAGATGAAACACCAAACTTTTTTCTTAATTACTGACCAAAGAATCCACAGTGACAGTTCCAAATTTTATCTATTTTTATGGTGATCAATAAGTTTGCTAATCAGGAAACCCCAAAAAAGTCCAAAAAAGTGTTTTGTTTCTCCTTCAGTACATGTCTATTGTTTATCACTTCAAAAAAAAAACAGATTACATGGATTTATCAAGTTACAGAAACGAATTATCAGGTTGCATACTCTCACCAAAATGTTATTTAAGTATAAAATTACTTTGGAAGTCTCTAATACGCTGTGTTGTGCGTTTTATACCGAAAAAATATAAATGTCTTGTTACTCATAAGACTTCTGATTTCGATTGGTTCCATAACGTTGCGTGATAAAACAGTAATCAGTTTTGTTCTCCATTACCATTTGTTTCAAGGCTTCGTAGTCCACGCTCTTGTACCCATCGTCACCCATAACCACGGTCCACGGATACAGTTCTTCCACTTCTTGAGCGATGACTCCACGCCCTGTTCCACTCATGCCAAGTTCTACGGCATCTTTGGACCATACCCAGTTGTAGCTACGAACACCGATCTGCTCGTAATCTGAATGCGGCACGACTGTGATGTTTTCTTTCAGTCGAGAGTCGCAAATTCCAAACAGGAGCACACCCCCAATAATAGCTTTTGCTATGTCACTTTTCTCTCTCTTTTTCGCTCTTCGAGCTGCAGCTTCTTCTTCCAACCTTATCCTGTCTTCTTCAGCTGTGCGCAAGTTTTCTTCTTGGATTCTTTGTTCTTCCTCTGCTTTCGCTGCCGCTCGTCTCTCTTCCTCTAATCTCTTTTCTTTCTCGCGAGCTTCTCTGCGGCGTTGTTCCTCCCTTTCCTTTTCCATTTTCTCCGCTTCTTCTTTTCTCCTCCGTTCTGTATCAAGGCGTCTCTCTCTTTCTGCCATTTCTTCTTTTTGGGCAATAACTTCATCCACTTTATCTCTGATTTTCGTTCTTTCCGTTCCCAGAGCACAGTTTTCGGTGAACTCATCGATAATTTGCTGTCTCCCATTCCTCATGTGATTCAAGTTATTTCTCAGAAAAGGTTCAATTATGTTTTGGTAAAAACGATCACACAACTCCGTTTCGAGAGCGGTGTACGTATTTGAAAATCCACTCCTTGAATTTTGATTGAGAGCAATCTCAAGCCTCTTTGCAAGAGAAGCGATCGTTGTTCCATCTATGTTTGCTCCATGTACTGTCTTTTTTAAAGGAAAACTTCTTAAATCAGAGGCGAGAGAGGTTGCGACATTTGCGTAATCGTCACGAGTAAACTGTTCTAAGTCACGCAATCGTTTCGAATCCACGAAGGGAATGTCTCGAACTTTAATGTTAATTCGAGGAAAGTGCTTTGCAATGGTTTCTCCGTAATTTCCATCAAGTATAGAATCTTGAGTTTGACTCTGCAAAGTCTTACCTGGGGATGGTGCAAGGGCATTTCTTATGATCACCAGTAGTTGTGGAAATGCCCGCCTGCTCTCTGCATCATCTTTCCAAATCTGTTCGCTCAAGCGTGAAACACGGTACAGAAACTGTACTTTATGATTTTGTACTGCTTCCCTTGCAAAGAGAGCCAAACCGGAAGACATCATCATGGTGAAGATGCTGAGCAAGTCTGTGTTTTCGTTGTCGCCTAAGTTAGTTCCTTCTGTGTCGAGTAAAATCGTGCTTCCGTCACCATTTGAATCACGCGACACAGACATCCACACTCCCGTCGTACATGGTTTCATGCCATCGCTCGTGTTAAAAACTTTCTCAACTCTTTGAT